TGGCGCGGCTAGCGAGAAACCACAGCGGGCGGCTAGAGCGTCGCAATGGGCGAGCGCGCCCCCTGCCCGAAAGGAGGAGGGAGAGCGGGCAAGGCCGTATGCGCGTGGGGGAGGATCGCAGGAGCAGCAGCCTGGGGGTGAGACGGGTCGGGCTGCAGGATCAGAGCGCACAGAGCGGCGGAGCCCCTGGCTGGAAGGCACTGGGCTAGTCCGGGACGTGCCCAGCCAGGCAGATCGCCCTGCTAGGGGGCCGGGCAGCAAGCGCAGCCCTAAGGCCGGGCGTGGGCTGCAGACCCCGGGGAGTCCCAGATTCCCAAATGGGTCCCTACCTCCACTGGACATTGCTAAGGGGCCGCAAATGAAAAACAGCTTGAAACCCCCATCCCAGAGGCGGGGGGCAGTAGCCCAGGGAAGTAGCCAGGGCAGGGTCCGAGCACGGTAACGAGCCTAGTCTGAGGTCAGGAAAAAAAAAAGGCAAATGACTGAATGCCATCAGCTGTCTGATACTGCCCGAGGCTTGGTCAGCTCCCCGTAAGCTGAGCGCTTGGGCTGCCACCAAGGGGAGATTGAAATTCTGCTCAGCTGATTAGCAGAGCAAGCATGTCCAGCAGCAGGTGCTTCTACTGGTGGTGCACATGGGCACATGCCCCAGTGCACATAACAAAATTTTTCCTGCACATGTATGGAAGAAATTAGCCTTGGTAGGATTGAATCCTGTACATGTCCTGGTGTCAGAAGAAAGAATGGGATGGGCTGCTAAGATGCAGCACTGAGCTTAGATGATACAAGCAAATGGCAAGAGTGGAAGGAGCTGAAAAGAAATAAAGTGATGCTAGGCTATGGGGTGTTACAGAAATCTACCGCTGGATTTTCAGCCCTCACAGTTAGGGCAAGGTTTATTTAATTGTATTTTTCAGAAGCACTCAGGTCTGACTATGTCACATGTGGTCAGATTTTCAAAAAAAAATGTCAGCTCCTGACTACATATCTGAGCTCTTCTGAAAATCTAGCCCTAATAGCATGTGTAGAGCTGACTCACATCTGGATGCTCATCCTAATACAGGCCAGGTGCAACCTGTGACAGGTGAGAAGAGAACTTAATCCAAAGGTTTTGATTCTTTGATATGAGGGTTTTCTAACCTTGTCCAATACATTTAAATGGGTATTTGAAAGATTTTATTATTATTACAAAATGTAATTCTCTTTACCCATACCATGTCAGTGACAAGAAACAGCAGTTAATTTGCTTTATTTTCCAGATATCTCTCTACTTAAAGGTTGCATTGCAACATTATACTTTCATTTTAGCCTTGGCTCTGATTCACAATGAAGAATGGGAAAGATATTTTATATAAAGGCCTCTGCAGTCAACGATTCAGAAGTGACAAACTGATGTAAGACTAAAGCAAAATGCTTAATGCAATGATGTCTTCAATAAAAGCACCTTTGCAAATTAGGCATTCTGTAGATACTCTACAGCTAGCCTAAAATTTTAATCATATAGTGCTCTTATTTCTGAAAAAGTGACATATTTCTGGAAAAGTAAAAGTAACACAGTCATATATTTGCTTATATACTGTCTCTGTAACTCACAGATGGTAGGAATTACTGCTTGTGAGTACTGCACTGGTGCCAAATAAGCCGGGCAGAATCCAATTTTTCAGAATTTTTTATTTTAAGCATGTTTTCTATGTTTATCCATTTAATTTTTCACAGTTGCACAAAATTATGGTTTTAACCTATTTTATTTGGATCTCTTTACATTTTCACAGCTTCAGGAAGTCTGCAGGGTCAAACAATATTTATTGACAGTGGACATTCAGATATACAGAGTCAAAACTTTACAACTGTTAAAACACACATTGTTGGCATGGCATGTCAAAATATACAATATAAATATCCTTAAATTAAATTTAAGTTCTCAAACAGGATTTTCATTCATCTGTACATTTTTATTATCAACAGAAATATTTTTCATTGGTTTGTACGTATTTAGTACAATCAACATTTGACAACAATCTAATCCTGCCAAGCCTATGTACACCTTTGAAAGATGATATTGAATTAATGTTCAATTAGTGTTTTTCAGGTAGCTTGCGCTGGAGAAAAGATTAATATTATTATTCCAGTACATGTGCTTATCCTGAAGCAAGACTCAGAGAGGTAGCCATGTTAGTCTGTTTCAGGAAAAACAACCAGGATTCCCATGACACCTTAAAACTAACATGTTTATTAGGGCATAAGCTTTTGTGAATTGCTACAACTCACAAAA